CTGGGCTTGTCTCCAAGCCTCCTGACTTTACAACCATCTCCAGGGTTTCTAACACGTTGGGCTCGATAATATGGGTTGCTTTGTTGTGGGGGGCTGTCCTGTAGCCTGTAGGATGTTTAGCAGCATCCCCGGCCTCTACCAACTAGAGGTCAGTAGCACCTCACCCTGGCAGTGACAGCCAAAACTGTCCCCCGGTATTGCCAGTGTCTTCCAGGGGGCAGAGGAGCCCATGGCTGAGATGGCCGGGAACCATGGGTTCTCAACCAATTGTTGATAGTTGTGAATTTATTGCCATTTTAAAGTTCAAAGAACCAGTGACCTACAGCCAACACATAATGGGAGAAATTTCACAATTCACATTCTGCAAATTTTATGCTCTCTGGAGATGATTTCAGAATAAGTAGCTTATTTTTGGCCTGTAAGCCACCTATAAAGTGAAGGCATGAGACTAAATATTTATCTTCACCACTCCTTATAAAATTCTTCACCATTCCTTTAAAAAATTAACAATGATTCTTTAAAGCCATCTGGCATCCAGTATATATTCACATTGCCCTTGTCCCAAGAATATCTTTCATAGCTTTTCCCCCTTCCCATTCAGGACCCAAACTAGACTCCTAAGTTGCTTTTAGTTGCCGTGTCTCTGTTTTACTCTACAGCGGGGGTCAGCAACAATGGCCCGTGAGTCGTACCTGGCCTCCCACCTGCTTTTGTAAATACACTTTTGCTGGGACTTGTCCTTTCATTTATGTTTACAGTAGCAATTGAGTGGTTGCAATAGCGCTATACAACTCACAGAACCTAAAATATTTACTACCTGGCTCTTTACAGAAAACGTTTGCTAATCTGTGATTTAGAACTATTCTCTCACCTTTATTTTCTTTTTCAAAAATATGTTTTATTGATTTTGCTATTACCATTGTCACAATTTCCCCCTTTGCCCGCTTCTACCCAGTACCCCCCATTCCCTCCGCCAATCCCTCCTCCCTTAGTTCATGTCCATGGGTCATGCATAGAAGTTCTTTGGCTACTCCTATACTGTTCTTAACATGTCCCTGACTATTCTGTAACTACCAATTTGTACTTCTTTTTTTTTTCTAAAGAGAGGGAGAGAAACATCAATGTATGGTTGCCTTTCATGCATCCCCTGCTGGGAACTGGCCTGCAGGGAACCAGCCTGCAACCCAGGCATGTGCCCTGACTGGGAATCAAACTGCGATCCTCTGGTTCGCAGACCTGTGCTTAATCTACTGAGCTACACCAGCCAGGGCCCAATTTGTACTTCTTAATACCTGTGCCTTTCCCTTATTCTCCTGCTTCCCCATTCTCTGGTAACCCCCCCCCCCCAAATGATCTCCATATCTATGATTCTGTTTCTGTTCTGCTTGTTTGCTAGGTTTGTTTCTTAGACTCAGTTGCTGATAGTTGTGAATTTATTGCCATTTTAAAGTTCATGGTTTTGACCTTCTTTTTCTCAAGTAAGTCCCTTTAATATCTGATGTAATAATGGCTTGGTGATGATGAACTTTAACTTCTTTAACTTCTTTAACCTCTTTAACTTGACCTTATCTGGAAAGCACTTTATCTGCCCTTCTATTATAAATGATAGCTTTGCTGGATAGAGTCATCTTGGATGTAGGTCCTTGCCTTTCACAACTTCAAATACTTCTTTTTAACCCCTTCTTTCCTGCAAGGTTTTGGGGTTTTTTTGTTTTTGTTTTTGTTTTTGAGAAATCAGCTGATAGTCTTATGGAAATCCATTGTAGGTAACTGTCTCCTTTTCCCTTGCTGCTTTTAAGATTCTCTCTTTATAATTTAATCTTGGCTAATGTAATTATGATGTGCCTTGGTGTGTTCCTCCTTAGGTCCAACTTCTTTAGGACTCTCTGTGCTTCCTGCACTTCCTGAAAGTCTATTTCCTTTGTCAGATTGGGGAAGTTCTCCTTCATTATTTATTTGAATAAGTTTTCCATTTCTTGGTCTTCCTATTCTCCTTCTGGCACCCCTATGATTTGGATGTTGGAATATTTAAAGTTGTTCTGGAGGTTCCTAAGCCTCTCCTGATTTATTTGAATTCTTGTTTCTTCATTCTGTTCTGGTTGAATGTTTCTTTCTTCTTTCTGCTCCAAATCTTTGATTTGCGTCCTGGTTTCCTTCCCATCATTGTTGGTTTTCTATAGATTTTCTTTATTTCACATAATGCAACCGTCATTGCTACCCGGGTCTTTTTTATGCTATTGAAGTACCCGGTGAATTCCTGGAGCGTCCTGATCACCAGTGGTTTGAACTGTGCATCTGATAGGTTGGCTAACTCTTTGTTGCTTAGTTGTATTTTTTTTCTGGAGCTTTGAATTGTTCTTTCATTTGGGAATTTTTTTTTTTGGTCTGGGCCCACCTGTTATGTAGTGAGGTACAAAGACTTAGGTGTTTACCAGGGTGGGGCAACCCACCTGGCTGCATTGCAACACTGTATGTGGGGGGGGGGTCCGAGAGGAAACAGTGCTGCTTGCTCTGCTCTCTGACAGTTTTCAGTGACTTCCCCACCTACCCACAATCAAATTGGGCCCTTCTGGTGCTGATTCCAGGTGGGTGGGTTTGTGTATGTTCTAGGACCCTGTGGGTCTCTCCAACAAACTCTCCTGTGAGGCTGGGAGTTTCTCCCGCTGCTGCCTCAACCCCTAAAGGTGTTTTCAATCAGAGGCTTCGAGGCTTTATTTCCCTGCACTGGAGCCCTGGATTGTGTGGTCTGTCTCTCTCCCCAGTTATTTCTCCTGGTTTATCTGCACATGAATGTGGGACTACCTGGTCTGCCAGCTACTGGTTGCCTTGAGTCCTCTCCACTCAGCTGCCCGTCTCTGCCCCTCCTACGGGTCTAGGATGAATGTTTCTTCTTTAACTCCTTGGTTGTCAGACTTTCATACAGTTTGATTTTCTGTCAGTTCTTGATGTTTTAGTTTTGAAATTTGTTGTCCTTCTTTTGGTTGTGTGAGGAGGCACAGCGTGTCTACCTATGCCTCCATTTTGGTCAGAAGTCCCAGCTGACAGTCTTATGGGAATTCTTCTGAAGGTAGCTGTCTGCTTTTCTCTTGCTGCTTTCAAGATTCTCTCTTTACCTTTAACATTTGGCATTTTAATATGGTGTATCTTGATGTGGTCCATCTTGTTTGAGATTCTCTGTGTTTCCTAGACTTGTATGTTTATTTCCTTCACTAAATTAGAAGTTTTCTTTCATTACTTTTTCAAAAAAGTTTTTAATTTCTTGCCTTCTCTTCTCTTTCTGCCTCCCCTATGATTTGAATGTTGGTACCTTTGAAGTTGTACCAGAGATTCCTTACTTTATCCTCATTTTTACTTGATTTTATTTCTTCTTACTGTTCTGAAACTTTTTTCTTCCTTGTCTTCCAAATTATCGATTTGATTCTTGGCTTCATTCACTCCACTGTTTATGCCCTGTACACTTTCTTTTATTTCACTTAGTGTAACCTTTATTTCTGCCTGGGTCTTTTTTTATGCTGTTGAAGTACCTAGTGAGTCTCTTGGGTATCCTTTAACCAGTGTTTTGAACTCTACATCTGATAGATTGCTTATCTCCATTTTGTTTAGTTCTTTTTCTAGAGTTTTGTTGTGTTCTTTCATTTGGGCCATATTCCTTTGTCTCATTTTGGCAGCCTCCCTGTGTTTGTTTCTATGTATCAGATGGTGCTATGTTGACTCCCTGTCTTAGTAGTGGGGCCTATTGTAGAAAAACACACTGGTATGTTGGATGGGGCAGAGCCTTAGGAAATCGCTGGGGTGGGGCAACCTGTGTGAACCAGGTTGATAGAGTCTCAGATATGGTGTCACCTCTCTATTGGCTCTGTGTTGGAGAGGGCTCAGAAAAGGGACAATGGCCAATGCCTGGTCTCCGGAGTTTTGTCTGGGCGGGAGCTCACAGTACTCGGCCTAATGCCAGTTTCTCTCAGTGTGCCACTGGTGTCCTTCAAGCTGCTGCCCAGGAGTTGGAGCCTGAGAAAGTGAGTCTGTGTAAGTCCTCAGTCCATTAAGGACCCTTAAAGAGGAGATGCCTGAGAGTCCACAGTTCCTTCCACCACCTCAATTCCCATTGTTTTTTTACAGCCAGAAGTTATGGAAACTTTCTGTCACTGGAACCCTGGGCTGGGGAACCTAGTGTGGGGCTGGGATCCCTTGCTCCTGAGGTACCCATCCTGATTTTATGCACCATGCATGGGTGTGAGACCACCCGTTCCATGTCTCTGCTGCTCTGCCCTCCTACCTGTCTGAATGAATGTAATTTCTTTAATTCCTTGTGTGGGCATGTTGTCATGATGAAGCTGACAATCCCCAGTTGCCCATATCTGTGGCCTTCTGAATCATCCGAATAGTTTCCATGGAGGAATGTTCAAGCTTAATGCAAAATCTGATGCAGATTTGTTGCTCCACTTGCTCAGTCATTTTGAATGTAACAGCCACACAGTGCACATGCTCACTTAGTGGTGTCTACTGCCCCCCCACTGACTAGTACAGTGAAGACATCATTATTCACACATGCTCATTCCAGTCCACTCTCCTTGACTGCCAGGTTACATCAATGTCACACCAACCGTTCTCATTATATTAACAATGATTGGATGTATGCCAGACAGACGTCATATATATTGAATAATATAAAATGCTTGTCCTGGCCAGGGAGCTCAATTGGTTAAGGCATCAAGCATCATCCCCATAAGACAAGGTTTCAGGTTCAATCCTTGGTCAGGGCACATACAAGAATCAACCAATGAATGCATCAATAAATATAACAACAAATGTCTCTCTCATTTCCTCTCAAAATTAATTTTAAAAAATCAATTTTAATGAATGCATAAATGAGTAAAAAACATAAAATGTTTATGAAATTCTCAGTGCTCCATGGGGCCACACTAAAGAAATTTTTATGTGTCAAAATTATAAATGAAAATAAAAGGCAAACAACAAATTGGAAAAACATTATCATTCCAGTATCTTAGCTCTTTTCATACTTTATTTTTCAGGTAGGAGAGTAAAAAAAGTCACATGTGACACATGGTAGATAGCTTTGTTTACAAATAGAGGTAAAACCCTTACTAATCAAGTTCACATATCATTTAGAGAAACTTGTAGGAAAACCAGGGGCCTCCTCCTTTGGAAAATCATCATATGTCATTTCAAATAAATGACCAGCATGTACAGAAATCCAGATACATGTACAAGGCTCTCAACACTCTGAGAGCTGGGCCATGTGCCTGCCAACATGCCTGATAGACAGCTCTAAATAAATGTCCATGGGATAAGTGGATAAATGCATGTCATTTCTTTACACAGCTGGGCAGGCAGGTTGTCCCCAAATTATTCATACCTACTAATTAGATTATTATTATTATTTTTGTGTCACAATCATCTGAATCATAGCAGAGGTTTGGCCTGTTAATTGTTCTGTTGGGAGCCTATGCATGTTCATGGAAGTAGCATTCGGTTAGCTTGGAACAGGATTTTAAGGACAAGCACACAGCACATCGGTTTTATGCATGTGTTTATGTGGAAAGCCAGCCTCTCCCTCTAGGCTACCTAGATCCGGGTCTAATGAGTCATACCTTCACCCCCTACACTTCGGATACAGTATGTCTATCCTACTAATTGTACTAAGACATTGTAAGTGAAACATAAATCATAATGAAAGAAAGCACTGCTGGCCGATCTATCAGTTATATATAACACAGCTAAGGCCGTGTGCAGTATAATTCCCCTCCACTCCTCTAAAATGTCATTTCACCCGTACAAAAATTGGACCTCCCTAAGCCACAGCGCATGTTTTACAGTGATCACTTGGAGAAAAGAGTTGACGGCCAGCCGCTCTAGCACAGTGCACACACACAGCACTGAAGAGTGCACCGTTGCCCAGAAGTAAGGCTGAAGGTTTAAAGAATTCCTGGCTGGTTCTTGAGCAGTGGATCTCTTTCCTGGCTTCCAGGAAAGAACTTGACCTTTGCTTGCTCGAGGAAAATATTCAGGCCGTTGCCTTTGATCCCGGTACTGTTTTCTATTGGTTTGTATTCCTTGTGTTTTCTGAAAACAACGTGTTAGAAATAATTTTTAAAAAGATCTCCAGCTGGAATATATTATTTTTCACAACCTTTTACATGCCCAGTGCAAAATGGTTAATTCCATTTTACCTAATCTCTGCTCTTAAGTCACTGAAGTCTTACGGGAATATATTTATTTTCTCTTCTTCGTACAAGAAATGTGCCTGTTTACTATAATTTGAGATTCCATGTTAAATATTAAGCTAACACAATTTTGTTAAGTTACTGACATCTGGTAGCATTTTTTAGGATTAACAAAAAACCACAGCAAAATCAACAGGCTAGTTTGGTATTCATCATTCAGTGGAAGATTCTCCTCCCACACACAAAATCGTTAAAAGCCAAAAAGGGAAAATGGCCCATTTGTGCAGCATGTTGCTACTCATTTGCAACAATATACGACAGTGAATTAAAGTGTTGGAACCAGCAACTTACTTGTACACCAGGAGGGCAATCACAGTGACAATCACAGCCAAGCAGCCAGCGGAGATCAGGGCGCCATTTGCCACACTTATAGAGGGGCCAGGGCCTTAAAACAGAAGAAAGACCCTGTTAGAGACATCTTCCACCCAGAGGACATGCTGCTTGTAATGTAATTAAATACAAGACGCAGGGAGCTATCAGAAGATGTATGGCTCCCTCTGGGCTTTTGGTAATCTTTCCCATTAAATAATACATAGTCTTCAGGTCAGCTTGTCTTCCATTTAGAGAATGAGTTAGCATGTCTGGGACACTGTGTGAAGAGCTCAGGAGAGGGACATCGTGTCCTGAAGACACCTGCTCAGGTCAGGTCTCAGCAGACCCAGCGGCGCCCATGTGGAGGGCTCTGCGATCCTGCTGCCCACTCCCCTGGCCCCGTCTCCTCCCGCCTGCCTTCCAGCTGTGCTGAAAATGCTGGGAGTTGCCCACCCTCCCCACACTCCTTCATATCGCCACACTGCTGCCAGTGTCCTCCCCCAGCTTGTGTCCTGTCCTCCCCTTTGGGACGCCTTCCAGACATTCCTGAGGCAGCGGTCACCCCTTCCTTTGTCACTACTTGTTCTCTTCCTTTGCCTCAATCACGCTGTGTTGCAATTATTTCCTTACACATATTTCTCTCCTGCTAAATTGTGAGAACCAGAAGGCAATGATTATGCCTACTCTCACTCCCGGAACCCAGCAAATTCGCTAGTCTCGTCTCTACCATCGAAGTATAACCACACTTTTATCTATTTTTTCCTCCATCCTCTCTGCTACCACCGCAGTCCCAGCCACCAGCCTCTCCCCTGAGAAGACCTCTTAATGGTCTACCTGCTTCCAGGTTTACCTCCAACAATCCTTGCTGCAACCAGCGGTCAGCATGGTCTTTCTAAAAGCATCCATCAGGATCATGCTTCACACCCACCAGTGGCTCCCCTTATGCACAGAATAAAACCCTACTGGTGGCCTACAAGGATCTAAATGGGCTGCTCCTAACGAACACTCAGGTCCCAGGTCGGAGGAGGCCTCCCACCAAGCTGGTGCTCCCAGGTCGGCAGGACTTGTCCTGACCTCTTAATCTAAGAAGCCCACGTTTGTTACGTGTCTCCCGCACAAGTCACTCTCCGTGACCTGACCTTGTTTTATTCACAATGCCATCTCATTTGTGTATTGTCTGTCTGCGCTCAGAAAGGCAGGGGTCATCTTCATCTTGTTCCCCACTCTGTCTAGGAGAGAGGAGAGTGTTCCCCATTCTGGGTGCCTGGTGCTAGGGCTGTGCCGGACAGGGAGCAGATGCTCAGTGAATGTTTGTTGAAAGAACTGCAGCTGCTTCATGAATGTTCATTGAATCACTGAATGAAAGTTAGTTCTTTCAGCTGAGTCTATGGGTTTGCCTTGGAGCCACGATCTATTTCTGAAATTCTGACTTTGATAGCCTAAATCATCAAGTTCAGTCCCACTGGGTTAAAAGCGCTCTTTCTGGTCCTGGCCAGCATGGCTCAGTTGGTTGGGGGTCCCACCATGAAGCGAAAGATTGCCAGTTGGTCAGGGCACATGCCTGGGTTGCGGGCCAGGTCCCGACTGATGTTTCTCTCTCACATAGATGTTTCTCCCCATCTCTTTCTCCCTCCCTTCCCCTTTTGCTAAAACTAAATAATATCTTTTTAAAAAAATAAAAGCTCTCCTTCTGAACTTCCTTTATTTGGATTTGGAAAATGGCTTGGGTCACACCTCAAGTTATCGCTCACTACAAGAAGAATTAAACAAATATCTCAGCCCCTAATCTAAATAAGAGAACAGTGGTTTGCCAGCACCAAGGAAGCTCCATAGGCTAGCTTATGGGACTAAAAGCAACTCCCAGCGACTGGCAGCACAAGGGACTAAGGGCAGAGGCTCCTGGAGGTGCCAGCGTAGGGGGGGGCCCACCTTCCTCTTCCCACCCCAACCTCTCCTGCCCTTCACCCAGGGCCCCAGGGCCCCCGCCCTCAGGAAGGACAGTCCCTTCCTTTGTACTCTTGTTTTCTTGCTTTTGAATCTGCATCTAAGAGCTTACCGACAAACAATAAGCCCTTGTACAAATAATTATATGTATGGTCACTAAAGTTTTTCTTTCAGTGAGGTTAAAGCTGCCTTTTATATTAATGACTAAATGTTTAAGTACATTTTACTTTATGAGAGAGGACCCAGGTCCAAAGGAGTTATTTGTGAGCTGGTCACTAGGTTGTACCTGACAATCCTCAAATTAAGGGCACACACTAAGTGCTGTCAGGTGCGTGCAGTTCAATCTGTCCCTTCCACCATGCGGCTCTCCTCTGAGAGAGAAAGCAGCCGCTCAGAACAAAATCGGTTATAAACGAAACTCAGGTAGGGTCACCAGGTAGAGACCGTATTTTAAGGCTGGGGAACACGGAAAGCCAGCTGTACATGAAAACTTCCCAATGAAAGTCTCTTGTCCACTTTGTAAACATTTTACCTCTCCAAGCATGGGGGCTGGGGGTCAGGACTGGTTTTCCAGGCGACCAGTGAGGAGTAGGTAAGTTGGTGTGTCTCAGTCTCTGTGAGATGCTCAGTTGCATTCGGGAAGGGACAGAGGACTCGGGGCAAGTTGGAAGGGGGCGAGGGGTCCACGGGGTTTCTCATCGCTCTTCTGGGCCTCACGTCTGTGCCCAGCGGATTCTAGTGACGACACGATACCAGCCCTCCCTTCGTCACACTTTTGTGGGAGAACACTGTTATTTTTTGAGGTTGGTCTACACCCCGCCCTCGAAATACACACCTATTCTGGCATGCAGTGTTCCTATCCTGTTACTGCTGTTCCCCAATCACAGCTGAGTGTTTTTCATCAAAGCACTTTTCTTTGGCCACTATTTCTGCCCCCACCCCCTTTCCTAGATAGATTTGCTGTTGGATTTTGATGCCATCCCCCAAATCCACATTAACAATAGCTCAATGAATTTTGCACCAAAGTAAAAGTAAACATTGATAACACAGCTCTGAACACCTTGAGCAGGAGCTCTTTTCCTGCCGTGTGAAATACGCGTACAAGCATGAAACAAAACTCACTTCTGCCAGGGACAGAGACGAGGGTGCTCGTGAGGGCCAGACTGGCGTCGTCACCCAGGGTCAGGTTCAGACAGTATGTCCCAGACCCGGTGAAGGCTCGTCTCACGGTCAGCAGGCACGTGTCATCCACATCCGCAGGGCTACAGACTGTGTTCTGGGCCACCTGGCAGGTGGGGTCAGCCACGATGGTACAGACCTCAGTGGGACTGCTGAGGGCACGAGAGAGGGAGAGAGAGGAATGTAACAGTTTTAAAGGGAAAACGCATTACATTGCTATAAAATTGAACTCCACCTATTTTTACTCAACCATATGACATTGAATTGTCACTTATAATTGACCCTTATGCAAGCCTGGGGGTGAGCTACTGTTTCCTCTGGACCCTCTGGAAGGTGAGGCCTTGGGGGTGGCCCCGAGGCAAGGGGCTCTCAGAAGAAATGTGAAGCCCATGTCCTTCCCTCTACCTCTGGCTCCCCGGAGTGCCCAGAGATGCAGACGGCGTAGGCGTTAGGCAACGATGTTACTGAATGCCGGGCCGTTCCTGCAGCGGAACCTACGACAGCGGTGATGCCAGCTGGTTCCGCGGTGAGCACTGGGCACGAGGCACTGAGTTGTAGATACATGCCATGGTCTCGTCTATTCCTCTCGGTGACTTTCCGAGGACTGTGATATTACCCAAGTGTAGCAGGGGACAAAGCACTCGGGGAGGGAAAATAATTGGTCCAAGGTCACACAGCAGTTAGAGGTGGAGCTGGGACTTGAATGAGAGGTGTTCGACAGCCGTGCTTGGAACCACTGGACAACCTGGCCACCCACAACTGCCTCAGCCGCTGTTTCACTCCTGGGCAGACTTCCTGGAGGCAGAGCCCGAGCTCTGATGCCGGGCCGAGGGGGCGTGGGGTGAGCGGGAGGCGCACCCTGGCCACTGCCACAGCTTCCCGCCCTTCTCTCCTTCCTGTCGATCCTCATTCTACCCCTCTGCCCCCGCTGGAGAGCCCCTCAGCTACCATTTTTATACCGTCTCCTGCCCTTCATTAGTGTATACATCTATATCCACACACATTTTAATCACTCAGTTTACATGTATGTGAATCAATCATTAGCATATTTAATGACTCTACGTAGTACATGTATCAGTTAATATGTAGTCTATTGTATGTTGTTATAACCAAACCTTAGGAAGCTAAAATATATAATGCATTAGAAAAGACCTTTGTAAATCACAAAGAGAGAGGATTATCAGGTATTGCTTTTAGTTAACACCAGGACACATTGGCCTCTTGGCACTCCGGAGGGGCCCCAGGGGGCTGGAGAGCGGTGTTCCGAGCCAGACCGTGGTCTATGAACTGTGCTCTGCCAGACAGCCAGTGTCTAAGGGGGCAAGTTCTCTACTCACTGTGGCCACATCTATAAAACAAGGAGGCTCAGGGGATTGTGTGAGGATTCAACTGACAACAATGTCAAGAACACAGTAAGTGTTGGATCGATAATTATTATTTAACTACATCCACAGTGAAAGGTAATGAACATGGCTCAATGATAGCAAAACAGATGCACCCTCGAGAGGGCCTTGGAGGGTCCTTCCTGGTCTTGGCTTACTGACAGGCTAGGACTTTCAATCAGCGTAGAAGGGGAGATTGGAGTCGCATGACCTGTTCCTCTGATGGAGATGATGTACTCACGTCCCTTGGCAGGTCACGACAAAATCCATCAAGGAGTCGCCAGGCTGTGGCACGGGCATCACAACTTCGGTCGTCTCAATGATGCTGACCTCTAGAATTCCATCTGACAAAACAAACCCCCGCAAGGGAAAATGCATCAAAATACAGTGGAAACCAACCCAAATCAAACGACTCCTTAACCAACCAGAAGGCCACACCAGACACAGCAGCTCCGGAACCTACCCCATCGATACCCCGACACGTCCACGCAGTGTTTTCAGACTGAACTGTTCTTCAGTCCAGCCCACTTCTTTATTTCTGGAGCCTGTGTATGTGTTAGAAGGCAGCTCCCACTCTGGGCATGTGTTTCAGGAAAAGGTGTCCCTGGGGGGTGCAGCCCCAGGTTCAGGCAGTGACCAGATACTCCCCTCAGTGGTGAGGTGGCTCAGACACAGTGTGGGTTTCGGGGCCCCCATCCCCAGAACCTGGGTGCACTGCTGGGCGGCGGACCCCACTTGTCTTCTCTTCCGGGCACTTGTGGGCTGTGCCTGAAACGCACAGCTGTGTGTGGTAGCCCTGCTCATTCACGTTTCCTACACACGTTTCACAAAGTGCGACTTTGTGAAATCGGCTAGGGGAAGAGCGGGCAAGTCAGGGGAACTTGTTACTGGCCTTCTTCCGAGGCTTGTTCATTCTGATTTCTTGGACACACAGGGTCGGAGATCCAGATCCCTGATAGGCTCAGCAGTATGTGGGTCTTATGGGGGCGCTCATTTAGGCTAGGATGTGGGTAGGAAGGCTGGGGTAGGTGGGTGGGAATCCAGAAGGTAGTCGAGTCTTTTCTCATGGATGTGCGGTATCTCCTCTGACAGAGGGCGGGTGCCCTGCGTCCCACCCCCACCCTCCAGAGTCCTTAGAGTGAGGGGAGCCCGAGGTAGGTTCTGGCACCCTCCCCCTGCCGTTCTCACCGACAATCGTGAGTCTGGCTGTGAAGTGACCCTCTCTCTCGATCCGGCAGTGTTCACCAGGAGTCCCCGCCCACTGCGGGGGGCTGTCAGCAGTAGGGGCTGTGGAGTTCAGATGACACAGTTTAGATTAGTTGCTGAGAATGTTAAAGATGTACATGATAGAACCAAAAATCTAAACACCTGTCTACCTGCTTGTTAGAAAATCATCAAGAATCCTATACTTTTAAACGGCCATAGACATTTGAACTAAATGTGTTAATGATTCGTATAGATGTGAGAGCTGTAAGGCATTATAATTGTTAAATCATGTAAGTAAACACAATCCCATATCTTGTTTAAACACAGGAATCGAGGGAAAGGTAGAAGCCGTATTAAAATGTGTGATACAATCATCATGATGGAATAAAGCAGGCCATAAAAGAGAAGGTCATATTTTAATTTTGGAGGCTGATATTCTGGGCTCAAACATGAAGTCCCTTGTTTTTAGCTGTTTGAGACCATGGGCATATCATTTAACTTCTCTTAGCCTCCACGCACTCCTCTGTAAAACAGGAATAAAACTTTCTGACCTAGCAGGGTTCAACTGTGAAACTTAGATCAGGCACATAAACCCGCTTCCCGTGCCTGCCGCAGGAAGTTCTCAATAAACACCAGTTTCCTTGTCCCAGCCAGTACATCTGTTCTGCACATCTCTTTAGATGTGGCATGCTATAACACATATAAGACGTGTAATTTGAAATAGTAAGGCTGATGCATGATAGATCAAGGGGCAAGCCACATGGAGGAGAGCGACGTTTTCCCCGTTCGGATGTCTCACAGCTCCGAAGCGGACATTCTAAAAGTCTCAGGAGTTATTGGGCAGAGGTGTTCCATCATCACTCCCAGCTGTTAACAGGTTTTAAGGAGCGTGTGGATGGGAACTTCCACTTTTATTGTAGAGTTCTATATTTGAATTTTTACTAAGGAACGTGGAATAATTTTGCAATTTAAAATATTACAAAAAAGAATGAATAAAAATCAGTCATCATAGTGTCTTGAATTATATATTTTTGGTTTGCTAAGATCTCATTTTAATAATAACAATATTATGACAATTTATTATTTATAATTGACAATATTTTTTGTAAAAACAGTTACAAGTCTGGACATCACGAGGGCGCGTTCCCTCTGGGCTTGGTGATGGCGCCCTCTTGCGTCCAATGTGAGGATGTTAACCTACTGCAATCCCCGGTCCCGGAGTGCTAAGGTGTACTAACGTCTGTGAGGGGAAGGGTGGAGGCATTGGAAGGAAGCTAAGGCTTTCCAAAATACACTCTGAAGGACTTCTTGGATGTCCTCATGTACTATACGTAGAGGGTGGGGTTTAATTAAGTCTTCTATTCAGAACTATTTATATGTTTATAGAATTTCCAGCTTGAAAGCCAAGAAATATTCTCAAGGTACATTCGTTTTGGAGTCATTTACAAAGTGGCTTTAACTGTGGCTGTGTCTTCATGGGGCACGAACTGGATGGGGGCTGGAAAGGGAGGAGCGTGGGGGAGGGGAGGAGAGGAAGGGGGGTGACTTGCATGTTCACAAGGGACCAGTGACCCTTCTCATAGCTATAAAACATGGAAGACGAACATAAATGTGATGAACTAGAAAATAGACAAGTACACGTAACAAAGTCAGTGAAAATTAGGAAGGTCAAAGAGCTGTATATAAGTCACCAAAGTTTACTTGCAAAGTGACCTGGAACAGGGTGTCCTTTCTTCCCCATTCTAACAAGCTTAAAATAGTGATAAAATGGCTTTAACATATCAACAGATTTTTGCAGAGTCTGTACACAATCCTTCTAACTAGTGATCTTACACTCTAACCTACGTGAATTTTTTTTTTTTGCAGTTAAGGTCTTCCTCACCCACCCCACCTCAGCCCCCTAAAGATTGCCCAGAAAACACTTACACAAAGATCGAGTGGGCTTTGGAGGTCGGGGTGTAGGTGAAGGGCAAGGTCCAGGCACCAGAGCTTGCACAGTGAGGTTAAGGCTGAAGGTTCCGTTGAGTACATACGTGTGATTCAAAATGTGATTGGTGGAAACAAACAGACCAGTATTATCCCCAAAATTCCACTTGTAGTTAATGGCAGACTCGTTCAGGAAGTGGCTGGGATCATGAATAAAGACATCGAATACGATGGGGATGTCCCTGAGGAAGGTTTCATCGGATGCATTTCGATCATTCTTCTGGGACATAGTCACCGATACAGGAATCCGATCTAAAAGATATATTAAAAAAAAAGAATGCACAATTGCTTGATTTTAAGTGGATGACTTCAACCACACTTTTAAATTAAAAATTTAAATCTGGCGTAATTCAGCATCGTTTTTCCTTCCCCTGTGCAAGTTTTCTAGAGTTTTCCCAAGCTAATTTGGAAGACAGAGGGAATATGTCATTAAATACAAGTTTGAGGAGGAATCCAGATGAAACATAGCCTAACCCAAAATGCGGCTGCAACTTTTTCTTAACCCCCTAACATCATTAGAACTGAGCGCCTCATCCTCAGTCACTTCAGGGTTCAGGCCTCTCACCTGTCACCACGTACGTATCTTTCACCTTTGCAACGGGAATGTACGTCCGTCCCTTTCTTCTATAGACAGCTACTTCCATGAGTTGAGGGCCAAGCGTCATGTTGGCCGTGTTTACAGAAACACTCGCTGAACACCGTCCCAGTTTCTGGTAGTACTGACCTGTGAGAGGTTGGAATATTTAGGTGTTGGTTACATGACATGATCATTACAGGAAGGCATTTATTTCTTCACAACTAACCCCTGACATTTAGAGATGGCTCTGGGGAGGACAGAAAGGGGGGGGGGTGGCCCTGGCTGCTTCAGGAAGGACAATGATGTTTGTTTTTATGTAAGTCCTCATCAAACAAACCCATGGGTAAATAGACATCATGGCATGGTTAGAATGAATAGAGCTGTTTAATGGGATACTACAGTCATTAGTTCACAAATACTTTTTATAAATAAGTGGTTTGGCACTTGAAATACGTGTTATTTCCCGCAGAAAATACATTGAATGCTGTCAATGGAGTTTTTAAAAGTTTATCCAAGAATCTACCTTATTTTTGTAATAATATTAGTATTTCAGCTATATTATTAAGCAGTTTTTTAAAAAATTGTTTTAGGAGACCAACCAGAATCCTCCGCTTTCTAGTATTATTTGCATGTAAATATGCAGTTCACATTGAAAGGTGCGGGGTGCATGTAAAAAGGAATGGGGTGGTTCTGACGCACCTTCTAGGACACCCGAGAGTCACTGTCTTTGTTTCTCCAGCCCTAACCTACATCTAAGGGCCACTGTGGAGCCGTGAAAGCAATTCCTCTCTGGCAGGGCTCCCGGATTTTTCTAGCCCTATGGAGGCCCATGGCATAGCCGCGTCCTTGAACGATAGGTACTGCCCCTTTCCTTGGACTGGCAGAGGCGGTTCAGATGGAGGCTGTAGGGCAGAAAGGTGTCTCCAAGGGGTTAGTTACACGGGAGGAAGTGTCGGCTCTGGCACCGAGAGCAGACCACCAAGGCAATGCCTAGCTGGGGGACAGTATCAGCTAAGTCTGAGACCTCAGCCAAAGATGGAAACTCAAAAAACAGTCTTGTTAGAAAAACAGCAGTTTCTGGCTGAAAGCTGATTTTAAATGAAGACATGTTAACTAGATAAGTTCATGGATGGTAACAAGGCTGAAAAGGGTCTGGAGTGCCAGGGAGCCCAAGTGACTCCACGAAAACTCCATGGCAGGTCGGGGATGCCCTGCCGTTTGGTGAGGGGCAGACTTGGGCCATGAAGGCATGGAAAAAGGTTAGCTCTCAGTCAACTCGTTTAAGTAGATGGGCATAAAATGTACATAGATTTTGTAGTTTGTACCATCAGGATGTATAGTTAATAGTTTGTTTTGATTTGTAAGTTAACTGAAGAAAGACAAGCTTTCTCTAATTTAGAGAGATCATGTCTCTAATTTAAAGACAAAACATTCAGGAATTTGGAGGCTGCATTATTGGGAGCAATTTTCAAATCCTCAGAGCCAGGTGGCACCTGGTGACATTTTTAACTAAAGACTTAGCAGCTTTGCCAGTAATAAGCTAGACTTGCTTCTAAAAATAATCACTTTGCCAGTAATACAGCAAAGTGGGTACCATTTGTGGTTTAAGAAAAAGAAAAAAGGGTAGAATACGTGTAAAAGAAGAGCAGAACGTTGACCAGGTTATTTCTACACAATGGAATATTCTACAGTGATTGAAACAATGTATACAAAGAATTATAAAGATGTAGTCAAATACTTATGATATTAAGAAAAATGTCTATACATTGTAATCCTCATCAAAAAATACTAGTAAAGAAAACACCATCGTATAACAGTGATAACCTCTAGTATGAATTACAGATGACTTATTTTTCATTTCTACTTTCCTGCATTTTTCCAAAAATAAAGTATGTTTATTTCTTGAAAATTCATTTAACATAAAAAAAATAAAGAATAAATCAACAGATACCTGTGTGTCATTCAGATAAACATTAGTATTTTGTATTAATATTTTTAAGATTACCGCTTTAGACAGAAAAAGATTGAGTAGTGTAGTTTTAAAAAAAGAAAGCTGAATCAGTTTTTTTCCTCTTTTTAATTCTTTGGTGTCCCAGAGATTTGTCGAGGCATATGTGTGTGTGTGTGTGTGTGTGTATGTATATGTATGTACGTATTTAATCTCTCACCCTTTATTCCAACTAAAGAAAGTTAACAGAGTAACTATTATTAAACTCTCAGTGTTACTAATTCTATAGAATAAGAAAAGAGAAAAGAATAAATTTTAAAGAAAGGTAAAGGACAAGCTAAGAGGGTTTGTAAAAGTCCAACCAAGGGTGTGGAAGACGTAGATGAGATTGCAGCCCCTTCTTCCATGGTGGTGGGGGAACGGCCTTCCGTCGGGGAACACGTGATAGCTCTGGTCTGTGCCGTTTCCCCAGTCGCTGTCCTCCGCCCACGCTGTCCCATTGTGAACACAGGGGTCCAAAGGGGGACCTGTGCCTAAACGGAGAAATAAAAGCTGTGATTGTCGTCTGGATCAGAATGCTCAGTGCTCATCATTGAATTAGACACTTTTTGATATTTTAACTAGTTTAAATATAGTTGGACAACTACAACCCTAATGTTCAAAATTCATTTATGTCCTGTGCATTTTTTTCTACATGTGTGTTCAATTTCAGTAAGTTTACATAGAACAATTTTTTCAGGAAAGTTCAATCTAGCGATATCACTTAATATATAGGGTCTGGCACAAATAACACCCCTTTTACATAACAGAATCTTTTACTAGAAAATCATAAGCATGTAATTCTGTAACATAACAATATTACACTCAAGCACACCATATGACCTTTTAGGGGAAATGTTCGAGTTAAAACTATAAATTATTACACCCATATTATTGCCCTACCAACCACATTCAAGCAGGCCTTCCTTACTCCTGCCGGGCCCTGTATTTTATCTTTGTATTGGGTCTCCAAATCACAGCTGTATCCAAACCCAACTGAGCGCTGCTTTATGTTTTTATTTGGATACACGCTATCAGTGGTATTTCTCCTGACTCATTCGACATCATGACTCCCCACTCCTAGAGACTTCACTCATCTCCTTGGACTAAGGGGACTCTTCTATACAAACACGTCATTACCACCCTACCCAGAATCGAGGGTCACGTGCCACATTTGGCTATTTTGTTTCAGAAAGAAAGGAAGGAAAGGAAAGAAGGAAGGAAGGGACAGAGGGGGAGAGGGAGACAGTGAGCAAATATGGTAGAACGTTTAAATTGTTGAATCTACGTAGAAGGTACTTGGGTGCTCAATGTACCTGGGTTTCTACTTTCCTGTACGTCTGACATCCTTCATTTTAAACAAGTCACGATCAATATTGTTTCATCTGGAGCAACTCCTTACCCTCTTGTGTTTTATGTCACTGACTTTTATGGAGAGACCTTTTATTTACCAATCTAGTACAACCATTAGTATTTTTTATTCTTAAATTGACCCAAACAGGGCCCGGGGGAGCCCCTCCAGGAGACTTCTGTGTCCTCGTGACATATTCCCAGGCTCAGCGATGTCCCAGGCTCATGGGACATCGTTCCCGTTCCTGTAGCTGGAATCAGTCATTTCTTCAAAGACCCCTAGACTTTTTAGTGGTGATGAATAGTTCATTAAAAGTTTCACAAGTTGCAAGACCTCTCTCATACAAAAAAAAAATGGTCAGAGGGCTAGATTGTCATTTGAAACATAACAACCAGCTTTTTTTTTAGGAAAAAAAAAAGAGAAAATGCTACCGAATATTAAATACACCATTTTTTAACTATCAAACCCTTTCTATACAGAATCCAATGTTTTCCTTCTAGGAATATGATCAATTAATAAGGAATTAACATACTGACAATTTAATAGAAGTTCTAAATAATAAATCAGATTGCAAGTGCATTTAATGGCCTTGTCACAAATTGAAGAATTCAATGATTAGCTTGGGATTTTTGAAATGTGCAGTTCTAACAAGATAATTTCCCTTGATGTATTTGTGTTTATTTGCACTCTTTAAGAGTTAATGTGCTTTAATTATGAGCAAAACAAAGCATATGTGTGTATATGTGTATTTTAGCATCTGTGCTAGCCACTCAGCACTTGCTGAGGAAATGCTTGTGAGGAGAAATTACTCTGGTCAGCAAACAGCGGTCAGCCTGGCTTTTCTCTAAGTGCCCAAAAGAATTCCAAGGAATAATACCAAAATCTGAGGATCAACAAGGTATTCGCTGTCCAATCACCTGCACTCGAAGAAAACACCACACCTGACAATGTAGCTTCTACAGAGGCCTCCAAGTAGCCAGGAGCCACCCCTTTGCTGAAACATCATTGGCTGATGTTGAGGAAGGGACTGGGTGGAGTCACATACTCGTCCTCCCTGTCATCCAGCTTGAGGAGAGGGTCACATGGGATGGTAGCACACCTTGCATTAATTGCAGAAGTATTGTGTCTACGAGGATCAAGCTTTCTGACGGGTCTCCAGTGCTTCGGAGAACCAGTGTGTCCCTGTGATGTGAATGACATTTCTTACCATTTCTGCAGTTCTTCTCGTGGACTGTGTTGCCAGTGTCGTCTTCCTTTTGGCATCTGGGTAATACCAGGGTCACCACGAATGTGATGTTGGAGCCCACCAGTGCTGGGGAGTCGCTGGTCAGAATGGCCTTGACGTGGCCCCCTAGGGCAGAGAATGGTGGAGCTCAGAGATCGACATGCTCTTTCCTGTCACTGATGAGTCACATGAAGTTAAATCTACTTATAAGGACCAGCCCGAGGCTCCTTATGCCTCTTCACAGAAAATTAATTTATTTTCTGGATGCCTAACTTTTGCTATCCAAGTACAACATTCTAGAAGATAAACTAAAAAGTCAGACCAGTTAAAGAATTTTCTAAACACAGAAAGAATAGCCACTTAAAATAATCTTTAAAATCTGCTCAGATTGAGGAGAGGAGTATTGAAAGCTCGTATTATTCAACTTTCCATCCAGTGACTGAGGAAGTCATTCATTTGTGAGAATGGAAAGACAAATTCTCTTTCCGACAAACCACATTTTGAGACAGTCAGGACCACTCTGGAGTCTTAGATCTTCCGAAGATGAGCATTCACACGTTAGCTAAACCGGGTTAAGACTAAACTGGCTCACTCTGCAAAAGCTCCCCAAAATGACAAGCTTGTAAATTCTGAGGAGATTAAACTCTGTGTGTGTGTGTGTGTGTGTGTGGCTGAGAAAGTGACACATTGCCATAAAGGCAAGGTTGCCGGACCCAGGTGCCCCACACTGGGTAACTAGAGGACTGTCGCTCAGAACAAAGAGAAGCCACATGCACTGCAAGGTGTGATCTGAGACCGACTTACACAGGCCATGGCGGCTGTCTGGGCTGAGTGGCTGACCTACCTCTCCAGGAGTCCTCCCACCTCGGGTCTCCTCTTTTCCACACTGGATAGAGATGTTCATTCCACTCATTGTCATCCGAAGACCAGCCGTTCAGTCGGCTGTGCTCCCTCATAAAACCAGACGTTCTTGCACTGCTGAGCACCTCATGAAATCCTATACCAATAGTTGAAAAACAATTATTTAGTCTACTGTATTCCTTATTTCGTACTTACCTAACAATGGTCCACACCACTTTCCATTTCATATGGTTGGAGAGAACATATCTAGTATTTCCAGTGTTAAGCAAGTAAAGGTTTTTTTCTTTAATCCTCACCTGAGGACATTTTTTTCATTATTTTTTAGAGAGAGAGGGAGGGGGAAGGGGATGTGGGAGAGAGAGAGAAAGAAACTACGATGTGAGAGGGAAACACTGGTTGCCTTCTCATACACGCCCCGACTTGGGAGCGAACCCATGGCCTGCGTATGTGCCCTGGCCCGGAATCCAACCTGTGACCTTTCGTTCTACAGGATGATGCTCTAAGCAATTGAGCCACAGTGGTCAGGACTAAAGGTTTGCTTGTTTTTTAATGTCCATTGGAAATATCTTTAAGTATTCGGATGCTATCTCTTTGTGTACTTTAGATGAATAAAAAAATTTGAAAGTCAGTATTTCCTAGCCACCATTCAGTTTTTCAATAGGTCTCCTCCGAGTATTTTGATTTGATGCAATGTCGTTAGGCAAACACTGATGCCAGCGACCAGTGTTTGCATCTCTTCCCGTCGAATTGTCCCCTTGGCTAAAGGATGGCCAGGCCCAGGGCCACCCCCAGGATTCCGAGAGATCACACTGCACGGCCCATTGGCGAACAATCGCATGTTTGTAATGGCCGGCACAGGCTCTGCCTCGGTAAGCATTGCGTGTGCACTTGTGTAGTCTGCGTTGCTGGGTAAAGGGTTTTCAATGCCACTTACGTCAGGTTGGTTGGTAGTTGCTTTTAGAGATGCTTATGCCCCTATTGTTTTTCTGCCAATTTCTTCTTTCATTTCTGCCAGTTTTCGCTTTATGTATTTTAAAGCCCCAACTGTTCAATCTTTTCCATAAATTAATTCTTTTATCATTAGGAATTGACCTCTATTCCTGGTAATCCTTCTTGCTCTGAGAATACCTTGATATTAATACTTTGTGTTTAAGTGGCACATCTTTTTCCATCTCTTTACTTTATATATATATATTTGAGGTGGGTTTTTTATAGACAGCATATTGTTGATTTTGAAAAAAACCTACTCTAGCTTTTACTTGGCGTGCTTAGGTAATTCTCAGAATAGGTTTTGGGGCTGGTAGGGTGGTGATGTGATGCCTGGAACTGTGGCAGCCCTGCTGAGCCATGAGGGCACAAGCCTGAAAAAGCAAGCCAATGCATCCAGGATTTCAGAGCGGAAGGATGGAAGGAGTTCTTGCTGATGTTGTTGAGCTCTTGCCCTAGAGCTGCCTACTCCGGACTTATTGAGACACTGTGTCTTACTCAACCTACTTGAGAATTCTGTTACTCACAGGCAAAAACTCAGTCGTTTATAGTCCTCAGTGAGCTCCTCCTCATACACTATCATAAACTGTTCTCTCATCAATTCATATGATCTTATGTCTTGGTGTGGCCATGAATTCTTACAGCCAGAAACACTGTCTTCTCTGAAATCCTGGAAGAGGTCTTTCATGAGGCAGAGTATTTGCTAGGTAGCCAGAGAAGCCTTGATGAATGGATACCGTTAACCTCTGTCTTCTATCTCTCCGTCCCAGGAGGAGGAGGGAGCAGCAGGTTGTTCCCTCCTCGTGAGGGAGGCAGATGGAAAAGGAAAGAACATTGAACTGGGAGTCTCAGAACCTGGTTTTTAGTTTTGGTCCTGCCACTAAACAGGCTGGGAGACCTCAGGCCACGAGTGTTCTCTGGGCCTTCAAAGCAGACAAAAAACAAATGTCCTGTGAGTGTGTGAGATCCTGTCCTGTGTTTCTGTTTGGAAAATGATATGACTAAGTGAGGGCAGGAAATGCATGCTTATCAATAAATGTTTATAACTGGAAATTCACTTGAATAAATCACAGAACGGTACAATATTCAATCTGGAAAGAACTAAGATACTTAGTTCTTATGCAGTGTTTTAAAAAATGCATGCTGGCCCTTACTGGTACGGTTCAATGGATTGAGTGCTGGCTTGTGAAACAAAAGGTCACTGGTTTGATTCCTGGTCAGGGCACATGCCTGGGTTGTGGGCTAGGCCCTCAGCTGGGGGTGTGTGAGAGGGAGGCAACCAATGGATATTTCTCTCACATACTGAGGTTTCTCTTTCTCCATCTTACTAAAAAAAAAAAACAACAACTGAATGAACTTTTTTTTGCCAATCCTATATATATATTTCACAACTGTATGTGAATCTACAATGACCTCGAAAATAAAAGTTGAATTAACAATAGACTGAAACAAACCCAATAGTAATCAGACTAGAAGGAACAAAAAAGAGTGACGTGTGGATGGTGGGGGTGGGGAGGTGCACGGGAAGGAAAACGGAATCAGCCCCGACACAGCTCTGGCTTTTCTCTCCGCGCTTTGGCCTCGTCACTGTCCATCGCCAGCAGACAAGTACCGGGCTGGCCAAAAGGTTTGTTCAGTGTTTTTTCATAGGATGGCTCTGGTATCACTCAGTTGCCTTTAACTTCATTTGAAACAATGTTGTTATATTGTATTACGACAGCTGTCATGTCAACGTGCATTTAAAAAATAGCTGTAGTAGGTATGACGCGGATGTGGTATACAGTAGGCACATGCCTGGTTGCAGGCAGTTCCAGAGGGTGCATGAGAGGCTACTTGATGTTTATCTCCCACTCTTTCTCCTTCCCTTCCCCCCTCTCGAAAAATAAATTTAAAAAATATTTTTTAAAAAAAAGCTTATCAAAATTGGTGAGTTTTTGTGTAGCTATTTTAATATTGAAGATGGAAGAAGATATGCAACACTTTTGGCTTATTAGGCTTTATTATTTCAAGAAAGGTAAAAACACAACTGAAACACAAAAAAAGGTTTGTGCAGTATATGGAAAAGGTGCTGTGACTGATCGAATGTGTCAAAGTGGTTTGCGAAGTTTCTTGTTACTATTGACATTTTGGCCAAACAATTCTTTGCTGTGGGTCTTATGCATTGAAAAATGTTTAGCAGCACCCCTGACCTCTACCCACTAGAAGCCAATAATAGTGGGGGATAGCTGACATACTCAAAATATCCAAATCAATTAAGTTATTGGTGAAAATGAAAAATGTGTCTTTTATTCTACGAAAAAAATCTGAAGGACTTTCTAGCCAACCCAAAAGCTGCTGGCTGCTTATACCTAACTTTGTCAACATCTTCATCTTCCTCCTTCCTACCAGGGCTGATTGGACAGTGGCAAGGAACCCCCTAGTGTTTGATCCACTGCTAACCCCCAGCCATCCTTGTTTTTTTCTGGCCAGAATCTCTAGTTTAGGGCAAGGAGCAGCCAGGAGCTTCAGGGTTTTATTAGGCTGCCTAATAGGCTGGGACTCCTCTCAAACTGACAGAGAGGTCTGCCCTCTGGCTCATCTGTTTTAGGAGCAGAGCAAATGGGTGTTGGTGGAAGGGAGGCTGGAACTGGTGTAGGGCCTCCACTGGCCTGTCAGTTCTCTGTCCCTCCATCTGCCCCACGGCAGACTCCAGGCGGAGCCTGTCCCAGGAGGTTCATTGAGGTAAGATAATTGCTACTTTGCATGTCCCCCCACTCCAAGCACCTACTGTTAGCTGATATCTTAAGAACCCCATACCCAGTTTTGCCAAAGAAGAAGTGAAAGCTCAGGGTGCTAAGTCACTCCTGGCCCTGCCTCACAGTCGGCAGCCAGTGGAGTCTGTCCAACTGCAGGAAGGGCAGCGGTCCGCCTGGCAGCTGCCTTCTTCCCCCTACCCACTGTGCAGCCAGGGCCAGCTCCTTGCCCTCTGTGGCCTGTTCCCTGGTCTGGGAAACAGGGCCATCATGCTGCCAGGCTCCCCAGGTGAGGCCAACACAGGCCAACAGCTGGGCATCTGGACTCTCTTGTCAAAGACAATAGGCCCCTTTGGGCCCCAGAGCCAGGAGGTGCTGCTCTGCATCTCCCAGGACCTGCATGGCCACAGCCTCCAGCCTCAGCTGCTTGGAGCAGAATCAGGTGTGCCTGGGGCCACTTCTTTCCCTTTCCCCCCAGATGTCATCCCCCTGCCCCCACCGCAGGGGCTGTGCTCCCCAGTACCCCCCTTTCACCTGCCTGGGCCTCTCCTGCCCTGGGGAAACCCACCAGAGTGCTCCCAGGAGTTTCCTGTTCCTCCTCTCCCCACCCAGCAGTCCCGCCAGATCCCGCTCTGCGAGTACCGCTTAATTATAGGGCACTTCTCTCAGCCAGGAGGCATGAAGGGTGTGTGCATGGGCCTCTTGCCCAGAGGTCCAAGGGCCTTCTCTCTCAGAGCTGGGAGGCAGGTGAGGAGTCAGACCCAGGCTCATGGCTGTTCTAGCCTGTTGAATAGGGGGAGGACAGTCTGCCCCACAAAGGTGTTGTTGGGGTTACCTGAGTGACCGAAGGGAAGCAGCCAGCACGCAGGCTGCACCTGGTGGGGACAAGGTGGATGCTGGTTCTTTCTCGGCACCCCCACCTCCCAGGAAGTTGCCTGGCAGAATCAGGGTTCCTGGACTTCTCATGCAGTGAATGTCCTGACTCTTTGGAAGCAAGATGAAGGGGACCTCCCAGGGGTGTATGATTTACTCTCCTCCTACTCCAGCCGGAGGATGGGGGCTGCCATGGCCACCCCCGATCCATGGACTGGACCCGTGGGCTGCATAGGAGTTTAGTGGCTCAGAATTCTGGCTCTGCATTCCAATCACAAGAGGAGCTTTTAAAGCCGGAGCACTCTGACCCTTCCTCCAAAGATTCTGACTTCAGGGGTCTGGTCATCGGCCTTGTCAACAAGTCCCGACCTCTGAGGACTAGAGTCAGGACCTGGGCTTCCGCTCTTCTGTCAGTAGCCTGGCTGTGGCAGCCGCAAACACATGCAGGCCCGGGGAGAAACCTCAGCAGGATTAGCAACAGCTTCTGGGTTGGGATTATGCGAGAGTTTGTCTCCAGATTTTGGGCCCCATTTTATCTGAGCTCTTTACCCTATTGGATAGAAACCAGGCAAAGTGCAGTGGGTACTGTTGCTTTGTTCTCAGGCCAGAGGCCATCCCTTCACACTCCTACCCTCCCACTATCTGGCAAAGAGTGGTCACCATTGCAATGGAAAAAAAATGCTTCATAAGAGAGAGGCTGCACGGTTATTACTAGTTTCCAAGAGCCTGAAGCAAAGAATGGAGGAGGGGGTTTTGCTGAGGTTCCAACATTCCCAAGTTTCCAGAAGAAGAAATGAGTGAGCATGGAAGTTGCCTGAGGAGCTTCACGGAGTCCAGCTTCTGGCTCCACCGCATCGCTTTGAAGAGCCACCAGTCAACCGACAGCCAGAGAAAGGGTTAAACACAGAAATGGAGAATTACTCACGTTTGGCGGCATCGAGTGGCAATCTTGCAGCCAGAAGCAGAAACCCCAGGAAACAGTAGAGACGTTTCATGCTGAATGAATTCTCACAGACCCAGCAGCAATCAAGGTTTAACTTTTAACTCCTCTGGCTCCATCTGCTAAGAGCAACAATGCACTTCTGGCCTCACTGCGCCCCACTCCTTTCTTCAATTAAATACAGGCCTCAGGGCCAGTCATGTGATGGTATTAAGCAGCATTGCCTGATCTGATCTCTTGAGTTCAACCCTTTCCAACTCATGTGCTTCTGACTCACTCGCTTTCGGCATCTATTTATTCACTTTAAAGATGCACACTGTTTTAATGTTGTGATTCCACATTTCTAGTTAAAGAAATTTCTAGCTAACTTCCTTTCCGTTGGGCCCTCTTTTAATACACTTCACCAAAAATAATTTTAGCTTCCACCCTCCGTGATTACCAGCCTGCCGCTGTCCCTTTACCGACCAACTCACCCAGCTTGTGCTGAAATGTCACAGTCACGCCTCTTGTGCTGTAATTCACATGGCCAGCTCCTTGCAGTGCTGGCTAATGCCTGTACTTCCCTGTCCCCCACGAGAAGGCAAAGGAGGTGAGGGCTGCATCTCTCCAATTACTGGAAACTGTGCATTATATATGTGGATAACATCTGTTGTGCCAGAAGGTGCTTCCAACAGCTGCTCAGGCCTCTAGTAGCTGAGAAACTTACCCCAAAGCGCACTTACGACCTCTGTGCAATTCCATGTACCTTTTGGAACAACCCGCCTAATTTTCGGTAACTGCCGTCACAGCATTTGTGTGCCATGCCACTCAGGGTCAATTGCAGAAAGCAGACGGCATGTTTATTTCATGTTACAGAAAGCAGGCATTGAAAGTCAAAACAAGCTTGTCTGGAACACGAATGTTATGCAATCAAATTATTTCTGTGCAGAAAATTTGGCAACATGAACACTGTGCTGCACACAATCTTTCTTTTTAAGCTGCATCCACGTCCCAGTTTTCAGTAGATACAAAAGTCCGGGTGGGGGCGAGAGTAAAGTCTGGGGTATGGACTTGCCCTCAGCTGTGCTGAGGGGGGAATGGGAGTGGTCTGAGAGACTGACACCCACGGAGTGGAGGGCGTGGCCGGTCCCCAGCCCTAAGGCCACACAGCTCCTCAGAGTTCCTTTTACAGCCTGTGAGGCAGCAGATGAAGGGAAAAACAGCAAGGGGAGCAGCGCGTTCCTGACTGAAACAACACTGTTTTCGTATACAAATGAATAATGGAAGTGTTTTATGTTACATGAATAATCTATACAATTCTGTCTGCTTTTCACAACAAACATGTAACTTTTAGAATTTTAAAAAGCTTCAGTTTAGGAAAAGCTTACCGTTGATTTATTTTTTTAAGTATCATTGCCCTTTGTTAATAAGTAGTTCTGGCTTGTATTTTTGGCCAGATGAACTACCTCGACCTCTAAATCAACTGGAAATGAGAAGCTCTTCAGTGACAAAACCTTACTGAATAGGGAGAGAGACAGTGACCAGGCCAGGGGGGAAGAGCCGGGGACAGGCACAGAGGTAGGCGGCCGGGTGGGGCGAAGGAGCAGCCGGTTCTTGGTTTCCAAGAGCTGCCGACAGGGCACAGGTGCCATGAACATTAACAGCCGACAGCATAGGAAGAAGCTATTCACTTCAAGGGACCAGACACAGGAGGGTTATTTTGGATAAGAACGATCCTCAAGGTTTTTTTTCTTTCTTTCTTAAATACAATCTTCTGCAAATTAAGTTTGAAATCATTCATTGAAAGAAGGGAATCAGCTCAATTACTTGGGGTTATCAATGTGATTCTTCTCTTTGGAAATGATGTTGAGAAAGTAATAGCTTTTGAGGATGCACTGAGTTCCCGGTCAGCACCCTGGTTTCCGACGCCCCTCGTGCTGGCCGAGGCCCCAGTGTGAGGAGCAGCACCTGAGACATAAAGCCTGTAGCAGCCATGCAAAGGGGGACTTCTGGAGTGGTGGGTGGCACCCAGGAGTCAGGGCAGGCGGGGGTGGGGTGGGGTGGGGGGAGTTTAAAAACCTTTAATTTTAGGGATTTCTCAGTTCAAACTGGTGTTTTTAAGCAAGAGAATGCAAATTAAGGTTCTTTGCTCCCAAACTCTGTAAACAGCTGTTGTATCTGTTCCCTGTTGCCACTGTAACAAATGGCAGAAACTTGGAGGTTAAAAACAACACAAATCTATCATGTTCCTGGAGTCAGATCCAAAATGGGCCTCACTGGGCCGAAATCAGTGTTGGCAGGGAAGCTGAACTGAAGATTCTGTTTCCTTGCCTTTTCCAGCTTCTAGAGGCTTCCATGTATTTCCCGAGGCACAGCCCCCACCGGTCTGCAAAGCCATCCAGGCCGGTGGGGGTCTCTCTCACATCACACCTGAGGCTGGCTCTCCTACCTCCCTCTCTCTCTTTTAAGTGCCCTTTTGATTAGGCAAGGCTCACCTGGATAATCCAGATCCATTTCCTTGTCTTAAGTCTGTTGATTAGCTACTTAATTCCATCTGCAACCTTAATTCCTCCTTGCCATATAACATCTTTACAGGTTCCCAGGATTAGGATGTGAACAGCTTTGGGGGGCCGTTACACTGCCTATCAAAGTCGTACAGCAGGTGACTTAGCAAAAAATTCTATTTATGAAGAAGAGTGTGTGATTAATAACAGCGATGGGAAGTACCTCTCAAGGGTTCCAAGACTTGTTGAAACAAAGCCTTTGATATTTGGCAGAACAGAAAGGCAAGAATAAACTAAAGATAAAGCAATCAGTTCAAAGAGAGAGAAAGCTCATGTGATTCGCCATGTCCTGACATGGGCTTTTGAACATGCTGTAATCAGAGTCACGGTTTTCAGATTTAAGCGTTAATGAATGACTCAGACTTCTGTTTTCGTCTAGGTCTTCATCTCTGGGTGCTCTCTGCAGGAATAAGTCATCCAACACCCTCGTTTTCAGATTTACTAGGTTCTGAAATGATTCTTCAACCAAAATATTTTCCTAGCTTTTCAGGGAAAGAGGGGAAAATGAATAGTGAAGGTTAATGTTCCTTTTCTGGTCGCCACCGCACCCCCAAATCACCGATGTCTGTTGCCGTTTCAGCCCCGATGAGTTAAATTGGACAAGCGCAGAGGAGGCATGAGCAGAGTGGGAAGGAATATTAGGTGGGAAGGAATCCTATAAATAGAAGAACAAACTTAAAAAAAAAGAAATGAAGTAATGATATGCTCAAATGTGGATGAACCTCAAAAACATTATACTCAGTGAAAGAAAGCAGGCACAAAAGCCACATACTGTGAGATGGCATTTATATGAAGTACACGGAACAGGCAGGCCGTAGGAAACAGGAAGCGGACTGGTGATCGCCAGGGGCCGCAGGAGGAGAGGAGGGGGAGTGAGTGCTGGGGGTGGGCGGGCCGGTGAAAGCATTTGGGAAGCAGAGAGCGGTGGAGGCTGCACCACGTGAGAAAGGAGTAAATGCCACTGGGTTTTTCACTTTAAAATGGTTGGTGTGAGTTTTACCAGGATTTGTTAATAAAGAACAAAATGATTAGCTCCGTAATACCCTTTGTGCTGGCACGATGCCAGAGGGTGAGGATGAAGAGAGGCCCCTGGCCCCACTGGGGCTTGCGGGGCATTTGCAGGCAGTGGCCAGGTGAAGCCGCAGGCAGTTGCTGTGGCAGAAGCGTGTAAGGGTGCACAGGAAGGGCTTGGGGAGATGTCCAATACAAATGTACCGTGAGCTACGCACAAAACTTACAATGGCCTGGTAGCTACATTAAAAAAAAGTACAGAGAAACAGTTGAAAGTAATTTGATATTATGCATCATTTAACTCAATTTCAGCATGTAATCAGTATATAAAATTAGTAACAAACTATTTTACATTCTTTTCTTATGCAGCCTTTGAAATCCAGTGTGTTTCACACTTATAGCACATGCTATTTTATTTATTTTTAAATCCTGAGGATATATTTACTGATTTTAGAGAGAGAGGAAAGGGGAGGGGAGAGAAAGAGACATTGATGTGAGAGAAAAATATCTATCTGTTGCCTCCTCTTCATGCCCCAACTGGGGATTTGAACCTGCAGCGTTTTGGGTGTGCATGTCGAGGCTCCAGCCAGCCGGGCTGCCTGTTCAGGGCAGCACGTGTCATTTTAGGCTGGTGCATTGCTAGTGCTCGCTGGCCACCTGTGCCAGTGGCTGGCGTGTGGGATGGTGCAGCCCTGAAGGGAGGGAAAAGCCTCTGCAGGGGGGGCAGGGCGGCTTGGGGCTCTTGCTGCTCCAGGCAGAGGGAGCCCTGGGAGCCAGGGCCCGAAAGGGAGCGAAGGCCAGAGGGGTGCAAAGGTGAGGCCAGTGCTCGCCCTATGTCGAGCCCGGTTTTGGTGGAAAGTGGGCATCGTGCACAGGGGTATTTTTCCCCTCTCAGGACTGGAGAGCAAGAAGAGGAAATGCAGAGGTACGGACCGTCACACACGATCGCTTTAATGACCACTCCCCCCACCCGGCCTGTCCGTGTCCAGCACTCTTCTCAAAGTGGAAATAATCCCTGCAGAACTGTCTCGTCTCGACCTAGTCAGCAGCGCCTTGCTCCAAGACTTACAGTGTCGTCCAAGAGTGAGGCCTCTCGGGGCAGCAACCGGTTTCAGAAGTGTAAGGTACGTTTTCGTGACTTTTTTCATTTTCTGTTTTATTTTGAAAGAATTACAAGTATAGTTCAACTCCCCCAAATCCTTTATCCAGATTTACCAACTTTAACATTTTGCCACATTCACACACTCATTGACATATACTTATGTGTACATTTGTGTAGCGACACATACATATGTTACTTTTTTGTCAGTGTTTTTTATGAACCACAGATTGCAGAATCAGGCTCTTTGACTCTTATGTGCTTTAGCTGGTATTTCCTAAGATCGAGGGCATGCTGTTAACCTAAGTACAGTGCAGTTACTCAAATCAGGAAACTTATTTTTAAAATTTATTATTATTTTTAAGTATATTGACTATGCTATTAGTTTTCCCAATTTCCCCCCCTTTATCCCTCCTCTGCCCTGCACCCCCAAACTCTCCAGCATTCCCCCACTTAGTTCATGTCCATGGGTTGTACATATAAGTTCTCTGAATTGTCTACTCCCTATACCATTTTTATCTCTCCCCGTCTATTTTATGCCTACCAATTATGCTGCTTCTTTTCTGTACCCTCCCCCATTCCTCCCCTCACCCTCCCCACTGAAATCCCTCTGTGTGATCTCCATTTCTCTGATTCTGTTTCTGTTCTATTGTTTGCTTAGTTTTTGTTCTGATTGTTTTTCTTTTCTTTTAGGTTCACTTGTTGATAGTTGTGAGTTTGATGTCATTTTACTGTTCATATTTTTCATCTTCTTCAATTTCTTAGATAAGTCCCTTTAACATTTCATGTAATAAGGGCTTGGTGATGAT